GGGAAGGGAAGGAGCGCGGCGGGCGGCGCTGCAAGGGAAGCCCGGGGTTGGCACTGAGGGGAGGCTGAGGGAAGTGGTGGGGCTGAGGCGAGGCCGAAGGACTGCGGGTCTTGAGGAGACCCGGAGGGCGGTGGCGAGGCCGAGGTGTGCGGCGGTTGCTGCTGCGTGGATTTGCCCCCGGGGCAGTTGGGATATATGAGGGTTTTTGGCATTTCACAGCCGGGAGAGATCCCTGTTGTCTGTCCCGTCCTGTGTAACACCGGCTGTTTGGGCCTTTCCTCCTGTGGTAACTTAGGGTCGTTTCCCTTCCACATTGACACTGTTGGGGAGGCAAAGTGTGCTCCCACCCTCCGGAAACATCTTTTCCATATTTCGGGGCGGGTCAGGAGGAATTAAAATTCATCCTGGAGAGTACACTGGTGTCTTTGGGGGGTGGTGTCGCAAGTGCCTGCAGCTGACCCCCATTCCCCACTACCGTCTCCTGCGCCCTGTCCCTCCTGTCCACCAGGCTGCAGAGAGCCCATCTGGCCTGATGTTAGGCCGAGGATGCGCAAAATAAGTTTATTCAGTTTTCCTACCTTGAAACCATGCCCCAGGTGGGTGCAGCTGTGCTGTTTTCAGTTGTGTTGAGTTCTAAAATCTGTATTTTCCTAGTTGTGGCAAATGAACCTTCAAGAGAAATGCCTCAAGAAGAGAAAGCTTGTGGTCATCTTTATGTCTCTGTGTTTTTTTTACCCCCGTGAGATATTTGAGTCCACATGGAAACAGTTTCTTATCAGATATCACATGAGAAACAGACGTGTTGATTCAGCAAGGTCTTGCCTCACACATCTACCGCCTAGGACATAAGCAGCAGCTATTTCAATCACATTAACTTCAAAGCCATTATTTTAATCCTCAAATACTTGGCTGTATCAGGACCTGACTTCCTTTGGAGCAGTGGCCTGGAACTTTCAAACGTATCTGACTTAACTCACATACGTGCTTTGTAGAATTGACTTTTTATTAGGCTTAGCCTTGGAAATGGAAATCTGAACACCTGGATTTGTTTTACAGTCAGTAGACTTTACCACTTGCAAATTGTCCCACTGATACTGGAATGCTTTCAGTGATAATATTGGTTATATGTGTATGTGTGGGATTAAGGCTTTAGCAAATGAATATATTTTCTGGTGAGATAAGATAGCTGTATAGTTGTGACCTTTTTCACTCTTTATACATACTGATTCTGGTTTGGGAATAGGATTCCTAGTTGCTATAGCAATATAAATAAATAATAATCTTTATACTTGTAGTTAGACAATAAGGAGAAATAAAAACATTTGCTGGCTAATTTGTGTCTGATATTTTGCCTTCTTTTAATGAAAAAACCCAGTTGTACAAGTTTTTTCTCCTTTTAGTATGACCTAGGTTGTCAGAGTCTGGTCCCCTTTGGGGTCACCCATGTAAGGAGAATTGTTGGAGCTTTGTGCTGCTGATAGAGCTGACTTTATCAAGATGAAAAGTGCAGAGTCCGCTCTCCTGACTGCACAGACACTGAAGTAAAGCTTCTCTGGTCACAGCACTTGCATCCCTTACTTTGCTTTCTTGCTTAGCGCTGGTTGCTTTCCCTTCTGTCCCATCTTGGCCTTTCAGCACGGGAACAGATTGATTAAAATACAGATCCTCTACATTATATGCAAATCAAAAGACAGAAATAAAAAATTGTGGCTCTTCCGTGAACTGTCCCTTCTTCTGTCCCGTGCCAATCCTGCATGATCCGATTGTGCAAGCACAGTGTTACTGGTGTGAATGGTCTCGTGTTCAGGTGAAGTGATTCATGTTAGGAAGGTTAAGTTAACCATGTGCCCAGGTCTCCCTTGAACCATTTGTATCGTAGACAAAAGCGTAACTTAGAGAAACACAAGATAGATGTAGGTAAGGAGTAGACGCAATAAACCTGTGTGTCCTATTTAAACAACCAGCTTTCTCCTGTTGCTTTTTTTTAAAAAGCTACTAATGTAAAAATAATTGTGTTTAATGTGAAAAATGCAATGAAACTAGAATGTGTCTTGAGATCTGTAGATGCTGCTTCTGTTTGAGTAACAACAACAGCAACAACAAAGGCAACAGTATTGAATGAATTAAAACACTGGGGCTGCTTATTTTGAAACTAAGGCATTGCAAGAACTAGTGTGCACTTTGGATATTACGCTGTATATGTCTTAACCTCCCTGCTGATTTATGTTCATTTAGAATAATTTTTATACTTAAAAACCACACAATCCTGTTACTATGGAAGAGATAATAGTTGTAGGTTTCCTGTGAGAGATGATAATCAAAGTGATCAGAAGGCCTAAAGCAAACAAACAACAATGTAGTTATTCCCCCTACCTCTAATCGCTTTCCATTACAGTCATTTTAGCTGAGACTTTGAACAAATTTAAAAGAATACCCCTTGGTTGTAGATAAAACACTGATAAACTTCATGACATCTCTAGAACTCTTTGATGCAGCAGCACTCACAGTGAGGTGGTTGTGTCATCTCAGAACATCTGTGTGTGGCTGGTGTTTTAAGCTAAATAAGGCCATAAGGAAGGATGGTTTACTGGTTTGGGTTTTTTTTTTTTTCCTTTTATTTACATCAGAGGTGAAAGGCAGGTTAATTTTGTCATTGATGCTCTATGACTGTGTTAACAGAAGTCACTCCTGAGTACCTTCCAACAGACCTTTTTGCTGTCATAGCTGCTTTTGACTTTTTGACATAACTTTTGAGTGACTGCACATCTGGAGAGCATTTCCTCTGCTGCAGGTATATTCTAAAAACCCCAGATCCAGCTGATTTTACTGGCAGGTGGCCTTTGAGTCAGCATTTTGGCTGCCACTGAAGGAGGCAGCCTTCCAGATAGTGACCGTGAGTTACGGGCTGGACAGATCGCTGTGTGAAAGCCAGGCTTTACCTGCGTATTTATACATAAGCACTGTTGATTCTGTGTTTACAGCCTGGCAGTGTGTAACCGAGAACAACATTTTGTCTGTTAGTGTGAAGTCAAGTCCTTGGCTGGCAGAAAATGAGAACTGGAGCAAACAGAAGGGCATTTAGGTACCCAGTATAAAATCTTGGTGACGGTAGAGCTGTTGTTAAAACCCAAATGTTTTAAACGTGGCTTGCAGAGAGGATTGGGTGCAAAACTAGGCCTGTGCCTTTGTTGCTGTCTGATTTATAGAGAACTCTTGAGATACTCTCTTTAAAAAGCTTTTACTTCACTTTTGCATTGGAGATTCAGAGGTTGCCTTCTTGGGAAAACTCAAGTTTCAAAAGCTCTTGTCAAGTTTTGACATGATGAGAGGAGTCTTTTGAAACTTTGTTTGAAACTAGATCATTTAAACCTCTTTAAAGTGTATTTTAAATTGGTACGCCTCCTGTATCCTTAGGTGAAGGACACCTGTGTTAATGAATCTAAACTTCCTACAGAAAGAGGCAATTCCACAGCACACCTCTGCAATCCACAGGAAGTCCAGGGAAGGTGGGACTTTCCCCATACGGCTAAGGTTTTAGTAAAAAAAGGTAGAAAAATGTTTAATGAAAAGAATTATTTTGTTTTTGAGCAGTCCCTTCATCTTTCTTTAAAAAACATTAACTCACACACAGAAAGGACACACTCGGAGATGTGTTCAGAGAGTATACAGTGCTATGGATGATAAATCTTTCTGCTTCTGGCAGGGTATCTGGTGCCAGTGACAGCAGCAGTGAGTGTGCTGCGGCTTGGCACAGGGTAACTTTGGGGAAGTGATCTCTGATCAGTTTTGATTTCCAGTCTATCGAAACAGACTCTTATTTCGATAAACGTACCGTTCTCTTGTGCCCCAACAACAGCTGCTTGGTCTTACTCTGGGTGTGTGAGCACTATAATACAATCGTGGCATTCCTCTTGCAGAAATGAGTGACTTTCTTGAGCGTTGAACCAGATCCTCAGAGAGGGTCAGTTGAAAGTCTTTGTGCCAGTGCCTGAACTCTGCATGTCTTTTCTTCCCTAGGCAAATTCAGAATACACACACGGGGCTGGATTTGTCAGTGCCGGAATACCAGGAAATCCATGGGAAGATGATGTCTGGCCACGTAGAGTATCACATTGTCGTCGTTACCCGACTGGCTGCCTTCAAATCAGCAAAGCACAAGCCTGAAGATGTAGTTCAGTTTATGGTAAATGTTTAATTGATGCAGGTTTTTTTTCTTAATCAGTTTTGTTTATTTTGGTCCTGATGTAGCAGATACTTTGTCATCGCAGCCTCCCTGGATCAAGGTCTTTGGCAGGACAACGCAGTCTGTACCATTCTGACAATAGGAATATTATCATTATCAATATCATCAATATCCATTGACATTTTCATTCCAGGAGCTCAAAGGAACATTGAGTGTTGTTGCCTTTAAGGTATTTTGCATTATAGACCAACAGATAGAAACCAAATAAGCTTTTCCAAAGCCCCGCTACAAAATCAGTCTCTCTGATACATGTATCAGTACTGAGACTTGGACATAAACATGAAATAAATATACAATAGTTTACTTGAATGGAGAGAGAGTCTTGTGGGGCAGTTAGAGGAATTAACCTTGGAGTAGGTTGCCTTGACGTATTAGCCTTGATATGTTTCTTATAAGAGTTTGACAAGGAAGTGTCTGTATAAAATGTTATTGGTTTGGATTGTCTTTTTCATGATACCTGCAGAGTAAAGGTTTGAAAACACAGCACATGAGATTAATTTTGTCTGTTTTAAGTCATGTATAGCATGTGCACGTCCGGTTGAGCTGTTTCAGCTTGGACTGCCTATTGAGTCCATGGAAAAAGGTGCATTTAGGGTATATTTTGTTTGATCTGCTTTAGCTGTCTGCTGAACAACTCCCAAGTAGTGCATTTCTCTGTCCATTGGCTGTAAAGGGACTCTAAGGGGATGCAGCCTGTTGTGTGCTGTGAACGTCTGCTCTTTTCTGATGTTTTGAGGATAACTGTAATGGAGTGATGCAAGTGCATGGTTACCTGGTAACTCAGGTGTGGCCCTAGTGTATGTAACTCATACTCTGTTGCAGATAGCTGATAGATGGATATTTATATCTATTGCAGATAAAGTGACATTTGGCAATGAAGAAGTGCATGGTGAGGAGATCTCATATATTTATTGCACTCCTTGTGTATTGCACTCCTTCTGAAGATTGTGGGTCTCTCACAGGTCCTCTGCAATATTTGTCTGCCCCACACAAGCTCCCTGTATACCCCAAAGCATCTCAGATGCCATGAGATGCCTGTCTTTAGGCAGAGCAGTCTGCTCTCTGTGATCAGATGTCTGTATTTGCTGTGGATTTCTAAGCTCCCATCCCAGTCAGTGCAGTACTGTTGAGAAGAATGGAGCTGAGCATCTACGGTGTGGGGGAAACCACTTTGCTTAACATACATGGCTGGTAGGAAGAAGCTGATGTCCCAGTGCTGAGATGGTTAGAGAAGATGGGTAGGTGTGGTAGGATTTTCATTGGCTCTGTATATGTTAATCCAGTTTGGGCTACCTCAGGAGCCAGTGTCTTCAGACCATTTGTCTGTCTTCCTCCTTCCCCTCTTTCTCTCCATCAAATAGTAGCTAAATTGATTTTCCTGGTCGAGCTGTTCTTCTGCTCATGGTTGAAGTGGCTGCCCTCCACACTCTCATGCCCTAGGTGGCAGCAGCGAAACTGGCTTTCTGCTCGCTGGGCTGTGAGCAACTGCAGACAGGGATGTGATTGAGCAGCATTTATTACTCAAATAGCATCTGTGTATCCCCTGAGCAGGACAGAAGCCTCCTTTAAGCTGGCTGTGATCTCTGGGCTGCGATTTAGACCACACTGGATGGAGATCTGTTAAGGACCTATGATCAAAACCAGACGAACATCAAAAAGAGATTTCAGATCTGACCTGAGGTGTTACTAGGCTTTACTGCTGGTCTAAACAATCCAGAGTTCCCTGTTCCCCAGCCTTAATTGAACTACACAAAGTCAGTATCATAGCATTTCTAACTGAAATGCTTGTGAAGCATTCACAGAAGAAATTAACTTCTGTGATGACTTTCAGATCTAAATTCTTAGAAACTGGAGGGAATTTTTAATTAAAAAAAACATTTGTAAAATAGGGTGAATGGGCTGTAGAGCCACTTAACCTTGAGGTTATACTTGGTAATTGAAGGAAAACTCTGCTGCCTTTATTTCAAAGGTCAGGATACTCTTGTCCTATTGAAAGAGTGAGATTGGTTTTGTCTTTGGTACTGCATCAGAGGTACTGCTGCAAAGGTGACATTCAGTTATTGGCATTTTCTGTGAGAAGAAGAAAAGGCTTTGTTTATCTCAAATGCATTTCTTCTAGCCACACCTTACCTGTTTCAGCAGTTAACTTCTCAGCCTTATTAAAAATCCACTCAGCCTATAGTGCCTTCCCTTCATATCTGTGCCCAGTTTAATTGCTTATTTTTTACAAGTTACTTTTGTTAGTGAAATTCATTCTTTTTCAAACCTGAACAAATAACTACTGGTGTTTGACAGGCACAGCACATTTTTGGGAGAAATTTACTATAGAACTGTCTTCCTTTCATAAAATGAGGGAGTGTAAGTATGTGGGTGCATATTCATCTATGTTTTCATCATTGCCTGTTTGCATATGTTGTCCTTCCTTCTGTGCGTTGGAGTTGCTATTTCCTGACCGTGCAGGTGTGTTGAGATGATGAATTCCTTCACATTATAACCTCTGTGATGTGAAAGGGGGAAAAAAAATCCCTGCTCCGTGTAGCAATAGGTTCAGGAACCGTTAAGAATTCATGTTGATTAAAAAGAAAAATGAGAGTGCTTGCTCTTCTGCTGGGCAAAACAGGTGGAGAGAGCAGCATGTGGTCATGTAATTAAAATCTATCCTAATGCATACCCACGAGGTCACCAAGCAACAGTAATTCTGGTGTGGCTTGAATTGGGAGGCTACAAGTGAAAGCTTTTGATTCCTGAATCCAAAGCTGGTGGTTGTGTAAAGGACAAGGCTGCTGTACCTCCGTTTTGTGCCAGTGTTAAGAAGAAAAAAGAAAGTCAGAAAAAAGTCACAGCAGCCATAAGTATTTCATGTAATATTACAAAATCACAAGTGCTCTTCTCTAGTGTGCATTAGCTGGCCAAAGGGCTTGAGTTAGCTCTGTCTGAGGCCTCCATTTCCTTGAAATCCTTGCAGTAAATTTGAAGCATATGAAGGCAAGTTTGAGGTCAGAAATGGGGCATTAAAAGGAGCCTAGGGAAAGGAGGCATTAAATCCCATTAATACTGAGTGGGATCAAATTCTGCTGCACACCTCTGAGTCCCAGGCTCATATCCTACAGGCATTTTGGTGTGCGTACTTTCATGCGTGAGATTCTCCTGAAGGAGGGGGCACGGCACATGCATGAGATTTGAAGGATTAGCAGCAAACTTCAGGCTTTCACTTTGAACTTCCTGGTGGTTTTCTTAACCTTCTAGCTATATTTGATCATATTCAACTTACTTATTTGTTCCTTGTGCAAAAAATATTCAAACCCATCCCTGTCTCTCTTTCAGTTCTATGTTGCATGTTAATTGTTACAGGCAAATATAGGGTCTTGACCCAGCAAATATGCACATGCTTTGCTGTATTTACATGATTAACTCTTTTGAAGTGAAGTAGATGGAGCCTTTGATATTGTGACTTGACAGAGCTCCTTGAAGTGCATGCACTCGGGCTAACTTACAGGTGGTGGGGCTTTAGCTCAGCAGCATTCACAGAGTTCAGTCAGAGGCAGGGAGGGGGAGAGGATAACTGCAGGATCAAGATCTAGAGGAATTACAGTCAGCAAAAAAAAAAATTTACTATTAATCAAATGGGACTTTGTTTACTTAATAGGATTAATAACATGGTTTTTAGAGCAGCATTTTTTTTTATCCTGACATTTTGGGCCATGGGATCCATCAACACTTCTCAAAGGTTTGTGAGTGGTAACCAGGAAAAACACAATTTAATTTTGTCACATGCTGATAAGCCTTTCTCCTGGAAAATTATCAGAGGACATCAAATTGAAATGGTCCAAAATTGTCATAGCAGAGCAGTGCTTCCAGACTGGAAAGCTGTGAGAGTGCTGTGTTATGTGTGGGACTTGACCTCACTCTATGAGACCTGGCTGGCACTGTGTAAGGCCTCTGTGCTGGTGCATCCAGCTCTGGGGTGCCCAGCACAGGAAAGACATGGAGCTGTTGGAGTGGGTCCAGAGGAGGACCACAAACATGGTCAGAGGGCTGGAGCACCTCTTCTGTGAGGAAAGGCTGAGAGAGGTAGAGTTGTTCAGCCTGGAGAAGAGAAGGCTCTAGATTGACCTTATTGGGGTCTTTCAATGTATAAAGGGGGCTGATGAGAAAGATGGAGAGAGATTTTTTTTACCAGGACCTGTAGGTTCAGGACAAGGGTTTTAAACTGAAAGAGAGGGTAAATTTAGATGAGACATAAGGAAGATATTTTTTTTTATTCTGAGGGTGGTGAGACACTGGCACAGGTTGCCCAGGGAAGCTGTGGATGCCCCCTCCCTGGAAGTGTTCAAGGCCAGGTTGGACAGGGCTTGGGCAGCCTGGTCTGGTGGGAGGTGTCCCTGCCCATGGCAGGGGTTGGACTGGATGAGCTTTAAGGTCCCTTCCAACCCAAACCGTTCTGTGACTCTAAATGTCTGAGGTTGTTGGATTCAGCCAATAAGCTGCATTGCCAGCACTAAAACCAAGGCAATGATGGCAGTGGTGTTGACTGAAGATGAAGAGAAGTCAGCAGCAGCCAGGGTTTGGGGCAGAGGAGCAGCAGGCGAGGAGCAAGGCAGGGCCTTGCTGAGGCTAGTCTTAGGTAAGTGAGGCATGGTTTGGGCTGGCTATTGAACGCTTTGCCTGTGTGGAAGGTTATCCCAGCAGAGGGCATCCCCACACCGTGGGATATTGGCTCGCATGGCGAGGTGCAGGCCTGTGGGTAGTACATCGGTATGCTTTGGATACAGCATTATCACACTCTTTATGCTGTGTTGCGTGTTTTCGGTGGTGGTGTTGTTCAAAGCCCACATGGATTCACAAAGGCTTAATTAGCAGTAGGATGCGAGGGTGTGCATTTACTTTATGATCAGTGGTGTAATTAGACATAAATTGAGATTTATGAATCATTTACAGAGTTTGATAGAAGAGGAATTAAAATTAAGTGGGGAAAGAATAAGTTTGCATATCTCAGTTCAGTGTTTCTGAGTATTTTAAAGCTCTTTTGACATAGTCTTGTTAATTGACTGCTGTCTCGTAATGCTTTCAGACATTAATTTGTTATTTATGATTGAAATTATGTAGATGTTAAACATTTTTCTCAAATCTAACTTGATTTTTTTTTCTATGTGGAGGGTAATATTGTTTATTCTTTTGAAAAAGTACCAGTGAGTTCCTCACTGCCCTCACATTTGTGCTTACACAGTGGCTTTGGGAGGGGCTCTGTCATGATACCCTGTACAAAGTGCTGCTGGGACCTAGCAAACTAGAATTGTATAGGAATTCAGAAATTTCAGAATTGCTTTCCTCTCTCTCTTTTTGGGGGTATCTTTCAAAGCGAGAATTGTCTTATTCTGGGAACATCTCTTTATTGCCATCATTTTAGGGCTTGGCTGCTGAATTGCATGTCAGATCCCGCATCCAGAGAACAGTGTTGCTCACACTTACCTGTGCTGCTTACAGGAGAGAAGTCTGAAATTCTTGTTTTTCATTCAGGTTTGGTTTTGTGCTTCAGCTCTTTCTTATAGAGCTGTTGACCTTTTGTGATGGGACACTGAACCCACAGTGAACATTGTACAACTGAAATGCAAATACTTTTCAAATCGGCTAGCTTGGTTGATAATTATTGTAAAAGGCAGGGAGGCATGAAAACTAAGGTGGTTATGGCTCTTTACATCTACATCTTATTTATAAAACTGGTCGAGGTGTGTCTATAAATTCTCTCTGGCCTTGAGTACAGCTAGCACAGTTTGGCTGCATGGTATGAAGCCTTCTTACCATCTGCAGTGGGCATCAGTACCTGAACTGACTGCTGCATGGTCTCTGCACCAGACTAAATGTTGGGCTGAAAAACTATCTGGGAGGGTGCTATATGTCCAGAGTGAACGCTGTGCTGGACATCATCAGGTTTCACTAGATACTGTAAGGTTCCCAATAGACACTCTCAGGTTCCAGTACCTGGCAATATGCCTTGATACTGTTTATTTTGCTAGTATAGATGCAGTTTATGGATTCTGTCTTAATCTATAACATGTTTCCCTTCTGCTTCTGTGTTTTCTCATGGGTTGACTTTCTTTTATCACTGTGCTGGCACCTTCTTCCATCCCAAGATGTGGTGCTTGAGTCTTTCCATCTATTATACTGCATTATTAATTAGGATTCACTCCACTAGAGTTCACCAGCATGTTGCAGGAGGATAAGAGCTGGACCCCAGTAGAGGATCTGTGCCATATGCACTCCACAAGTACTGATTCTTTTGATTTTTTAAAAAAATCTGTCTCTGTATTTACTCAAACACATTCATAGATTATGAGGCCGTGGAGGACCATGATGAATATGTTTTCTGTATAATACCACAGTCACAGAGCATGACAGTCGCTCCATTGCACCCATAATGTCACGTAGAGACAGTGCTTTGTTTGTGTGTGGGTTTTGTGTGTTGATTTTTTAAGGTACTGAATTCAAAACTTAATGTGGCACAGAAGCTGTCCCATTTCTAATCAGGGTTCCCATGGTTACTGCTTTTCTGGTATTATCTTGGGCCTCATTTCTCCTCAGGCTTCCTGTCTTTGTCCACAGAAGGAATTATTCCATTCACCGTTGGCATCTTCTACAGTACAAAAACCTGTAGGCCATGGCCAAGTTGTTAGTTTTTATTTTCTTATGGATAAACTGAATAGTCAGGGGTTGGCTGAGGTCTTTGCCCTTCAGTTTTTTTATTAGGTGTTCTTCAGGGCAGTAAAGATGCCAAGTTTTTAGGTGTTAAAAGCAAAAAGGGCTGAAAAATGGGTCTTCTGGCTCAACAGTGAAAAGATTCAGGCTGCTTTTTCCATCAGATACCTACCTAGCTGGTGGGTATCTGTTCCCTCCTGTCTCTCAGGGCTGGTCATCGTATAGCTCATTTTTAGTGGACAAGGATTTTTGCTGTCAGAGAGAAGTAACTGGAGCAGTGACGTTCAAAGCATTTCATTAGTTGGTGAGTCAGACAAATGGACACTGGGCAATGAACTTCAATTCCATCAGGGAGCAGATTTTAATAACAGAATTAGAAGACCAGCAGCAATGCTTGGGGATTCACTGTGCAGATAACAAGCTTTTACTAGGCTATGTGTAAAGCTCCTTGGTAATACATGGTTTTCTGCTTCAGTTTCCAGGGTTAATGTTTCACAGCACTTAAACTGCTGCTTTGCTGCTCATGTCTCTCCTGTAAAGAAACTTACCCAGGCACCATGTTTCATTGCAGGTTTCCAAGAAGTACAGCGAGATAGAGGAGCTCTACCAGAGACTGGTGGCAAGATATCCACAGGCTGCTCTTCCGCTCTTGCCTAGAAAAGTTCTCTTTGTGGGGGAATCTGACATCTGTGAACGAAGAGCTATGTTCAATGATATCATGAAATTCATCTCAAAAGATGAGGATCTAGCAACGAGTCCTGAGTTACTGGAATTTTTAGGTAACTAAAAGATGTGAGTGTCCCCTCCCCATGAATGTACTTGATAAAAGCATTATTAAAGTCCTGATCCGGGTATTCAGAAACTACAGAATGACAAAATAAAGGCTGTCCCTGAAAATACCCTCTCGTGCATCTGCAGTGCTGCATAGGGATGTTTGCTAGTGTTTTCTCCTCTTCTCAGTGGACACATACCTGATTCAGAAGCATCAGTACTACAATTCTTGCTTTGAGGGTATCTGTCCTACCGTCTGTGATTTCCCTTAGGCACATACCTAAGCTGTGATTCAGACCACATAAGTTTAGAAGGCTAAATAATCATATCTTGTTAGCGGAGAGATGGACCTTAAAGGGGCAGTGCAGGGTCTCCCGTAGTGATCAATTGTTCCACGTTTTGTCTGTTTTTCATTCCTAGTAAAATTGTTAGATCTTGCTGAAGAGAGTCCTAAAGCAAATTATTGATCCTGAGAAAGATGTGAATGAAAGATTCTGTATTAGTTAAGCTCATTCTCTGGCCTCTTTTTTTTTTTAAAAAAAATTTTCCGTGGCCTTATGTCCAGCTCTTGTTGCCTCTTCCAGTGATTATATAATTTCTTTCTTATGTTCTTTGGGCATAGCAGGGAGTCATCGAATAAACGGAACAGATGGACTCTGCTCTTTAATTCAGCTGAGAGCTGCTGAGCAGGGAAAACTCCAGCCTAGTACTGTGAAGGATTCTCAATGTAGCATTAGTATTAAAGAAGTGGAGTTGCAAGGTGCTAGCAAGTCACCATGTGTGAACAGCTGATTTTGTGAAAGTGTGAAGTGTGGCCAGATCAGATGTTCTGTGAGACTGGAAGCTTCCTAAAGTCAAACAGCGCAAAATTGCATAATGTTTGGCAAAATCCTTTTGCTAATAAGGTTTTGGAGTGTTTTCTTTTTCTTTTTTCCCTGGCAGTGTTCTCTTGATGTAGACCCGTTGCACAGAGAATTCAGAATTCATGTCGATTAACCTTCGCCTGCTGATTTTCCTAACCATGGCCCACATGTCTACATGTGAATTTGTCTGGACTGTCTTTATACTGTGGACAGATTGGGTGCAAGTAATGTAACCTGTTGATTGAAGTCTGCCTTAGAATAATGTCTGAGCCTACCAAACCAGGTGGAATTCAGTACATAGACTGCAGATCTTCAAGCTGGTTGTGTATGCTTTCCTTATAGATCTTGGAGACATAGTTGATATATTCAGGGGTCTTTAGGGAGAAGAAACATGGTAAGACACAGATGACTGTGGGCACAAGATAAGCAGCATCCTATAATCCGACCCTGACCAGCACTCAGTTGGATGGATCTTGCATACTGAAGGGAGTTAGAACTTCAGGCTTCATTTTTGAGTGTAAATCGAAGAGTTGCTGTCAAAACTTTTTCATGCTGTCCAATGCTCTACTTTTAGCCCAGATGAATTAAATTAGTAACAAAACATGGACTTTATCTGGACTAGCTATGCAAAAGTTCGCTACCTACATCTAAGCAGAGTATTTACAGTCTCTCTGTAGCCAGTGGAGAGAAATAGGCATTTCAGAGGGACACTCCTCCTCAGACAACTTTATTTGGATGGGATGAATCACCACGTGGAAATTCTGTTGTTTCTATTGACTACTGAAGGAACATAAATAAGCAGATTAGACATGCGCTGCTATGTCTCAGATGAAGTTCATTTCCTCTGTCTTTCTCTACTTAACTACTTTAAATCAGTAAACAAATCAGACACATGATGACACATCAGTGGACAGGAAGGGACAGTCAACAATGTTGAAAGAGTTTCACAAAAGCTGATCATGTCTTTTATTCCCCAAACAAAGCCATCAGGAACAGGTGCAAGGTATTAAATAAGACATAGTTGTTATTCTGTGTACTCAGTTCTCCACCTGTTGTATTTTGCAGGAACAAAATCTCCTACTGCCATTGACTTCAAGGGTAAAAACATTCCTGATGACAAGGAGAAAGAAGAGGAAGAAAATGAGGCATTGGATTTTTTCAAAGAGGAAAAGACACCTGACTTAATCTCACAGCTTTCATCGATGGAAAATGCCAAAACAGGAGAGGAAGAGGAGGAAGAAGAGGAAGAAGATTTAGATCCTCTTGGTATAATCAGGTACGGCTGGTAATGCCATTGTTATTTAGTTTTTAGCCTAGTTTTCTAAACAAATAAGGCTGTTCTATGTCACTGTCCCCTCTTCTCAACATTTTATAACATTGACAACTTCCAGTTTTATTTCACAGAGGAGGAGAGGCCTCTGCAGTTCATGAAGGAGGTGCCTCGGTAGAGGGAAGAGATGTTGTAGTGCCTCTTTGGTGGATTCCTCAGGAAATCCATGTGACAGAGGAACGCTGTGAATGCCTTGATAGCAGTCTCAGCTGCAGTAGGCACTTAACCACAAAACGTAATGCCACCAGGGCCCATTGGATGTGTCGCTTTAGAGTACACTGGTGTTTACGGTGTCTGGAGCTGCTTCTGAGCTCACTTTTGTCTACAAGGAGGTAAAGTTATAGCAGCGTAAAGACCAAAGGAGCCAACATTTCAATCATGGTGTTGACAGATGCACTTTTGTTTCATTCCCTTACCTGACGGTGTCACGTGCTAAATGCTGCTAAGGCATAAGCAATAACAGCTTGAGAAACAGTAATTGAATCAAGATTGCTGAAGTTAGTATCTGGGTTTGCTTACCAGTAATTTTAGACAGTTATTTTCTTTAAGATAGAATTTCTCACTTAATTCCCAAAACCATTTCTAACTACTGAAGCCTGGAAGCAAATTTAGTTTCTCAGTGGCTGGGATCATGAGTAGTGACTACTTTTTTTAGGGTGTCTCAGGCTTTAGATGCCCAAGTAGAAAAGGCTTAGCTGTTCTTGGTCTTCAGTAAGCACCGACTGACTCAACTGAGTTGTTTCAGCCACCCACAGTCACCAGCCACTACTGAATGCTCCTTTTCTTGAACCCAGACAGTGCTTTCAAAATGCTTCTTCATAGCAAAAGGCAGTAACTAATAGTAACAAGCCAGAGCCCTCTCTCAGTGTTTCCCAATTACCTTGAATCATTTCCAAGGGGATCATTCACTCCAGACTCCAAGCCGGAGTCTCCCACACTAAGTTGGGTCAAGTACAATGATTAATACTGGAAGCACCATTTGGACTTTGCTCTTGCTATTATAATCATATGTAATTGTTGGTGTCCAGATACCATCTTTTTTATTTGAAGTATTTAATCCTTTATAATCATCAAAAAAATTTAAATACTCTTTTGACAGAGTGTGTGCTTAATTACTCAGCATCAAAGTTACTCTTCTGTTGAAGAAGACTTTTAAAAAGTTAAATAACTGTTTACACTGAGAAGTTAGATAAAGCAGTACTTCCCACAAAATGGTCCCTAGTTGGTAAGTTTACAAAAGCAGCTGTCCTTTTTTGGGTAGGAAAATGATCTATTGGGTTAGCAAATGCAATGTTGTGTTTTCTGACTTAAAACAAGTATAAGCTGTAAAGAACTTGCTGTGCCAAAACAAGCAAGAAGTTTGCTTTTCTGCTCTGCAGTTTGACATAGCATTTGAAAGTCTTGATTATTTTGGTCTTTTAATGTACTGAAGGATGACAAGATCTGGTATTTAATCTTCATTTAGTTTATTGCTTCCATTCCTTCTGAGAACAGAATTCTAACTGAATCAGAATAACTTCATTTATATAAGAAGTATGATCTTTACTGGTACAGAGCTGCAGCATGAAATGTTATGTAGTCAGATGTTTTTCACTCTAAACCAGCAATTTGGCTATCTTTAAAAAAATACCTCCATATGAACTTCTTATTAATATTTTTGTAAATCTCACATGTACAGTGTCAAGGCAGAAACATGGAAGTGGAAATGAGAATCCTGAATCTGGTTTTACCTTGCCTCTGTTCTCCTGTAACTCACCCTACTTCCATGGAAGATATTTTCAATTCACATCAATGGAGATCAGATCGGACATAAGCATCGTATCCCAGCTTTATCCCAGCTAGAAACAGGTGTGTAGGTAAGAGGCCAAAGGCAGGAGCTTAGCTGTGAGTGGATGGACATTTCTTGGGTGATCATTTTAGGGTGTCTTCTATGCCCATTAAAATGTTAGGTGCTTACATGCTTTAAAGAGGGATCTGGCAGGCCTCACAGCTTTAGTGCTTCAGATGTTCTTGAAGTTACTTTGGGATGGGAATGAATAGAAACGGAGGTGGTGCAGGCTGGATAAATATGTTTAGTAGTAAACTTCCCCCCAATGCCTAGTAAATTCAGGTTAAAAAAAAAAAGTAATAATCCACAGTCCTTTCCCTTGTGAAAAACCTTTGAAAAGATGTAAAGTCAGCACTGAAACAGACCAGTCCATTCCAGGCAGTATCGGTGGCCAAGGTCCTTTGAGCAGCAGAGCTCTGACCTAAATTAAATCATGTGTTTGGCTCTTTACAGCTCTTTTTTCTTTCTGGATGAGAATGAAACTGCTCCAGTAGCGCAAGCCTCCATATGTTGTCAGCACACTTCATTTGGTAACAACTTCTCCTCCTGGGCCAGAAGGCTGTGACTTGGATTTGGCCCAGCACTGCTGCTGTGCTGCGGAACCACCAGATAAATATACTGGCCCTAGGGGTTAAATGCTAAACTAGGGTCTTCTTTTCTGGTTTGTATTGCTGGTGATCATCCAGGTGGAAGATCTTGATGGCTCCTTTTGCCTGGAGGAGACGTCCCAGTTGTGCTGATCTCTTCCTCACATTCAAGGCTGTGTCTGAGTTGCTCTTTCATGTCTGGTGGGCAACTCCCTTGCCGGTTCTGCTCTTCAGCTTTTGCTGGTGTAAATGATGGTCTACAAACTTGGTGTTTCTCTGCTGTGTGATTCTCATGCCCAAAAACTTGCTTTCTGTGTTAGCAGGGAGATCTTGGGCCTTGGGTCATGTCTGGGATTCTTAACAACAGAAAGACCGTTTTTCTTGCCCAAATCAAGGAGATTTCAAAAGCCATAATACATATTTCTGATTAAGTTTTCAGCTTTTAGCACCCCTCCTCCTTTATCTTTTTTTCCCCGAGGCCAGGTTCTTCCTTGAAGAAAAGGTGCTCAAGATTAGGTTACATTTCTGGGGTACAGTGTTGAAATTAATTTGTTGTCAAGGGATGTGGTTTCTCCTCTTCACCTCCTGCCGTTCTTGAGAGTTTGGAGTACTGTTATTCCAGCGGATTGGCACCAGTTACTCTGCAAGTTTTCCTGGACATTTGTAGAAATCTTTTCAGGTTTGGACAGAATATACAGGTCCTGTAAGAACAAGCACTCTTAATATGGAGTAAGATAGTAAGAATGAAGTGTACTCACTTTTGTAGGAGAGTCACATTTCTAGCTCCATTTCTCTTGGCAGTGTAAGTGTATAGTGACTGGTAAGTCACAAGGCTTTCATAGCCAAACTTTTTTTTCAAAGTTAGCATCTCTTTTTTTAAATTTTTTCTTTCTTTCTGGTAAGCTACTATCATTACAATATCCCTTTGTTAAAATGTTTTAATTCCTTTATAAGTGAGCAATCAGGTATGTATTTTACTCCACACTGTAGGGACAATATTAGGTATATGACTTATCTTTGTCTCTGTTGTTCTCCTTAAAGTGAGCGCAATATCGCTTTTTATTACTCTTCTCTAAATCCATCTATCTCAACGTTTGCAGATACACATTTTTAAGTGTTTAGTAGGCTACCATGGTGCTTTCACAATATTTTCTAGAAGATTTTTAGAGGTGAGGTATCTTTTAACACTGCCAAAGCCAAGAGCTTTAGCATCTCTTTCCTCTCACTTTGTAGTTAAAACAACTGAATTTAGTACTTGTATTCAGTTTACTCCAATAAACCTGAGACAGCAGCTGATTAAAATGACTGAGAACCAGCTCCTCTGAACAAAGCAGCAACAATTTTGCAAAAGGAGCGTGACTGTTTCATGGGTTAAAGCATGCAGCAGCCCTTTCAGTGCATTTCTCCAGCTGGAATAACTGCCGAGGTAATATTTGTTGACCAGCTTGGGAGAACCCACCTTTTCCTGAGCTTTCCTTTCCTGTCTTCATCAGCTCTCTGCAGCCCTTGCAGGAGCCTCTCCACAAGTGGTTCCCTCCCTTCCGTCCTTTTTGGTTTGCCTCCCTAAATCTTTCAGTGACACCGTATCTTCCCTCAGCCCTAGGTTTTTCCTGGCAAACCACACAAAGGCCAGAGTTGGGTATTCCCCAGGCAAGAGCTCTTCTGTCTCCTTGTGGATCCTGCAGAGTTTCTGTCTCCACTCTCTACCTTTGCTATTGTTTCAGAGGATTTCCCGTAGTGGCTTCTTCTCATCCAAATTTGTCCCTTTCCAAAGGAGTAAAGACACGTGGGTAGGTGGAAGCTTTCCATCTGTTGTGTTTAAATGCAGATGCAGCTAAGTCCTGACAATAGTTAGGAAGGGATGGGGCTGGTGAGGGCTGACCTTCTCAGGGCCTGCTGCCAAAAGTTTTTTAAAGCCTTGTAGCTGGTTGTTGCTGGGGTCAAGCTTACCCACCCCTAGTGCCAGAGGTCTGCTGTTGCTCAGTTTAGTTGGTAAGGAGATTATTAAAGGACTTGGGGCATTTTCTGGCTGCAGATGAAATGGGCAATGGCTTTGAGC